GGGGGGATAGTCTACAGGGATGCTGGAGCATCACGCTGGTTAAAGCTGTTTGAAATGTCTGAATTCGGAGAATGCGAAGGAGGACAATATAGGTTAGGTTAGGTGGCATTCCATTAGCCATTGTAACGTTACCCGTGGTATTGTATACTTATATATGTATATGTCTCGTGTATCTCGAAAATTTCACAGTGTATTCATCCTACGCGTACATACACGTATATTCACATTGTACAGCAGTAATCCAGTTAAGAAATTGTAAAATCGCTCTGATACCGTCGAAGGTCTGAATGTCCTGAGCATTTGTCACTTTATGACGTCATCCCGCGAGGAAGATGCTCGAGAAGAGCCCTAGTGACTTTTTCCCGGGGGAAAATCTTTCTCCGCCAGGGACGCAAGTATAGAGGAGGAAGACCTGTCTGAAAATAAATGCTTGTATATATGTATATATTCTCTGCTATAGCGGGTGGTCGTAGCGTGAATTCACTATATAGATATACATACCTGTGTGTATCCATGACATATAGATTCTCTAAGGAGCAGGGTGGGAGGGGGTATTTCAGTATATATAGTCAACGGGTCATCTCCCATTCGAATCTAAGGATACAGAAAGTCCAGGGAGTGTGGGGGGGAGGGGAGGTGCGGACTCCGTTCGACGACGTTTATCGGGAGAATGCTACTGACAGGTTAGTATGGACCTGCTGGGGATGCTGGGAAAAGAAATAGATAAAGGCAATGTCTTCATAGGAAAACTAGAAGATTACAGAGGTGGGTATAGAGGGTGATAAAAGAAAAGAGTACTGAGGTACGTCGAGATGAAATTTTCCATGTAAATCTGGCTCTACGTAGTCTTCTCGTGGATTACGTAAGAATCGTACCAAACCCGCAGAATCTTATTCCGAATTGAATTTTCGAAATTACATTGACTTCCTGTTCCAGCCGTTCCCACCGTTATCGTACGAATGCGTCAAACTGACCTGGAAACACGGAGCGAATACAAGATGTCTGCGGCACTCTGTGACGTCACTCGGTCCTCGAAAACTCCAGCCGACAATCGACCGGCGAATTCGAAATTCGTGTCAATGTGACTCGTTAGCATGGAACGACGTAGCTTTTGGATTACGTGTGGAATACAAAGGACGGTTCGAGGATGCAAAGTTACTGAATATCGATTAGGGGTTAGGTTCGTGGAAATTTTTGAAAATTTTTTTTTTTACAAAAATATCAAGTAATTTTGCAAATGTGGCTCGAAAGGAATCTTTACGTGGAAGTTTAGTCATGGGGGGTTAAGCTGCTTATGGGTTATTTGGATTCTGTGCGATTTCACCTTGTCTCGGTCAGGTTGGGCTAGGTCAGTCACTTCGTGTTGCTGTAACCTAACCTAACCCAACCCCGCGATAGACGTTCTGAACTTTCAATGGTGGATTCCAGTAACGAGGAGCCTTCCTTCTCATTTCCCTGGATACAACCTCTGAACCCCCCATACTCTTCTCTCCTCCCCCCCCTATTACAATGTACGACCTACGACCTCCAAACTACCACAACCCTCGGCCTTTTCAGCTGACTCATATACACTCTCCATACCTTCTAAAGGGTTCCGAGCAATTTACTCTTTTAACCCCTTTCGAGGGTTTCTACGTGTTTTTATCGACGTTACGTAATATACGTAAACCTGATACATTCTCATTCGTAACGTTACCACGTGGTGTGTATATAGAAACGTGTGAAGCACGTGCTCGAAGGATTCCCTGTATGTGGGCTAGTGACAGTTATAAAGGTTCAAAGTTTTTGGCTGCGACAGTACCTGTGGGTGAATGAGGCACCTCTGGCCCTCTAAAGGTGGATACGGGAGGTAAGATGTGGGCGAAGGAATATTCGGAAAATTAATATTGCACGAGGGTAAAACTAGAGTAAAAGTGGGGGTAAGTTTTTAATTGATGTTAACGATGACGTCAGCCGACGAGTAAAAACATACAAAAATTCGTGACTTATGACGTTGCTGTTTTCCTAGATAAGAAAATTAAGGGTGGACAATTTTTTTTTATTTCCTCCTTCTTCCCTTACCACTTGCCGTATACCGCCGAGATAGGATCTTTCGGACATTTACGGAAATTCTACCAAATGAAGATCTTAGATATACGTGTCTTGCTCGTGAGGGTGGTATGGAAAAGATTGTGGAAAAAAGAAAAATGAAAAATGGAAACTAGAACCGAAGTGTTATTGCATCTCTCAATGGTAGCAATAGTAGGTAAATTGTCGTCCACGTAGAAGCTGAGAAAAAGAAATTGTCAAGGGACTAATGGGCCGGGGTATAAAGCGAAATCCTCCTAATCAACGGTACGAGGCCTTTCAGCCATTGATGCCAATTGCTATGGAATTTTTCCCTGGAGAAAACCCCCGTTAACCCCTTAATTGAAGCCGCTTCGGCTTTAACGAATTTTTCCCGGGAAATTCAAATTCTATTTCGTTTCAGTAGGCTACTGTATTGAGAAGGAAAGCCTCAATGGCCAATTCGGTAAACATATTTGGCATTCGATACACGTTATTTTTATATGGAACACAGGAAGTGACGTAGGTACGCCTCACGGTCGAGTATTCTTTAACGAATCGTATAAACGTTTCTTTCGAATTACGCAGTTCACTTTCCTAACCTAACCTATACTCCCAATCAGTATGACTGTTGATTACGTCTTAGGAATATTTTTGATCGATTAACATTACGTTTTTATACTTATGGACGCATACGTCACGCACGCCGATAGGCTGGGCGGGGTCAAGATTTTTCAAATTTAGGAATGTATATGAATATATAGATATAGAGATAGGTTGCCGTATGTGAAAATATATATTTATCGTATATACGCACATATAAGTAACACGTGGATAGATTTATCTGTTTGTTTTCTGTTTTTCTAGTTCTTATCAATTTCGTAACGATACGTCAAGCGGAAATAACAGTAACAATAGAATCTAATCTCGTGTTACAATTTGTTTATTCCCGTGCCGTATATGTTTTTTTACTCCGATCTCACACTGCGTAGAACCGAATACGTATTTCCAAACTATAGTGTAGCGACTGGTGCGAAAATAATAGATCGCAAGTGTCGCGCGTCCCTCTATTTTTCCATTGGATCGACTCGCCCATTGGCTGATCTCAGAGAAACGGCGCGTTTCGATTGGTCGTTCGTCTGACGGGCCTTTTTTCTCAAGTAAACGCACACGCGTCATCGCACGTGGTGCTGTATCTGATCAGAGTGCGTCACTGGTCAGGGTTATGGACTTGTGAGAATGACGTAGTACACTCTGCTACATAAATATCTTATCAACGCAATAAAAGTCCGTAGAAAATAATAATGTGTTTTTGACTTATTAAAAAAGACATTTTTATTTTCTAAAAAAAAATACTTTGGGATTTTTTCTAAAAATTTTTCTTTTGCATATACACAATACTGGTATACGATTGAACGTTTTGGGAAACATGGTGGTTTACTGTACAATCAACGGTATAAATTAATGTCCCTTTGCGGGTAGAAACTGTCGTGCGACAGTCGTAGATAAAGTTTGGTTCACAGCAGTGGGCACGTACAGTTTCCAATATCTTATCAATAACGAGCCGAATGTGCATCTGACAGTAGGAACGAATGTTCAGTGGGTTAGGGTCGATTCAATATCAAGGAAATATGTAGTGCGAGGGAGTAACTGGTAGGGATAGTAGAGAAAAGGAGAGAGAGGGTACGAGGGAGTATGAACGGTCCTTTATTTCATAGGAAGGAAACCGAGGAATGGAGGAAGGAAGAGTCCCGACGAAATTGGTAGCAGCTGGTCGAATGATTCATCGAAACTTAGTGTGCGCCAAGTATATATATATATATTGTATATGATGTATATAACCCTAGTAGGCACAAACCTCATATGCCATTGAGAATATATAGCTATATAATGTTCCTAGTAAAAGTTTTCTATGTCACTATATATGATATATATATATACACAAGTTTCTTCATGAGGATCGCGTTGCGAGTATTTAACGTTGACGTCCAGTTTTCTTTTTCTTACGTCGCGAACGTTTGTAAAAACGACATCGGTTGAATAAATAATGTAGCCAGTACCTGGGGATTCGAATAGCCAATCAGCGACAGGATTCATAGGCAATGTCCTATGGGTAATAAGATCCCATGAGAATGCACGGAGGCACGTCTTTTTCTATGTCCTACTGCCTGCGATCGCACAGTATAGGGATACGGGTATCCCGCGCACGAGCGAGCAGCCAATCGGATCGCTCGACTCGACGGAAAGGACCAATCGTCGAGGTTCTTTACTTCGGAGTCGTATCCCCACTCCTGCGGCTCGTTTATCGCCGGCACGCTTGTCAGCTCTCGCGACTCCTCACTAGCGTGCTGGATGCGCACCACGTCGGTAGCTTCCCCACGTTCTCTCGTCGCTCGCGTTAAGAACGCCAACAGCTGACTTTACGTATATCCACGGAGTTACTGCAGGAAATATCGACCGTGATTGTTCTCTTGGCTTCTATCGTCCGTCCTTCGCGTGCACTATTTGCACGAGACAACAGGTACGTGTTTTATGTAAACGCAGGGACCACGTCGTGCTTTACGGTACAATTAAATTAATCCATAGCCGTATTATGTATATTTAACGACTGTACAGTGCAGTGTATACAGTCTACAGTGCGTGCCGTTTAAACGGGAATTCACGGCCAAGGCGAAATCTCCTTCACGTTTCTTCGAGATCTCCGGCCGATATATTTAAGTCTGACCCGAAGAATTCGACAAGGAATTCTCACTGAAATTCTCTTCCCTCCCGAATTCCACAATGGTGTCCTTGAACATGTATATCTATACATATCCACTGAGAAGTTCCCGAGGAATTTTCACATGGGAGAGAGACGTTAGAAAAATTCGTGTCACAAATTTCTACAAATCTGTTCTTCTTTTCATGTAAAAAAAAGAATCTCTCCCTCCCCTCCACTCGGAGATAAAAACTTTTGCGAGACGACTCTAAGCTGAAAGCGGGATTTCATAAAAGATTCATAAGAGAATCCGCGTCGGCGTTTCACGTGAATCGCGCCAGACGCGGGAGGTTCGTCGTACGTTTAAGAGACGAAATAATGAGACGAGAGTCTTTGGGGATTCCAGCATCCGCGGATACAGAGATGCTGGATGATTTCGTGCGGCTGAAAAATATGATCGTGTCGGGTCTGCAGTGTTTAAATTTTTAACGTAATCGTTTGTCACTCGCTTGAGACAGATTTTTTAAAACTTTTGCAATCTTTCCCATTAAGCATCAGAAACTACCAGAGGGTCCATTCGAGGGAGGCTGCGAATATCTATATACCGTCTGCACCTTGTACCACGTTCGGAAGAATACAGAGTTTTAGTTCTGTATCGCGAAGGTTAAATCGATTCGTGTAAAAAGTCGTAACGTCTCGTTTCGCAAGTTCAACGAGTTTCTCTCCGAGCTTGGATTTTTTTTTTTTTCCTATAACGCCCGGAATTCATTTGGTTAATAAATAAAGTTTGCGCTAAAAAATATTTTTCCACCAGACTATCCTCCACGTGCGCAATGTAAAATTGTTACCTCTGGACATTAGTCCGACGATAATTTGCGGAATTAATATGTCGAGAAATTCGGCGATTTTTCACTGTCCTCGCACATCCCGACCGTTATTGCGAATAGTCGTAACTTGCCGAAAATACTGGAGTGCGAATTCCAGGAGCGTTGCCAGAGGAAACGAATAACGAGACGTCGCACCACGAGCCACCCCGGTTCATTCGTTTCGGAATTTCACTCCAAGAACTATACCGGGTACCGTTGATACTAACATGTAGCTATACTAACCTTAATACCGGTAGCAGACAGTGCGAAAATTTCCTTAAGAAATAGATATATGTCAGGATGAGAAATCGTGGTTCTCTCAAATATTCAAATGATTCGCCTACGGTTACGTGTTAGAGGTGAATCAGTGCGTAGTCGACGCGTATTAAGGGACCCGTAAGAGGCGTCCGTACGAAGCGTCGTTACGCCGACGTTGGGAAGCCTTGTAAGAATTTGTATCGACCAATAAATTCGAACGTCGTCATCCTCGACCTCCATATGGTGCAGAGTGAATAAGATGTAAGTCGAGTGATAGTAGACACAGATTTCCCTCGGGCTTCTCTCTAAGGGTCTCCTGACATCGAGTTATCGCGAAAAAGCCCTATAATCATTTTTAACACGCGATCTTCGTCTTCGAAGATCTTCGATCTTCGGGACATTTTGAATTTGACAAAAAAATTTTTTTCACATCACCACTGGTCAATTGGGTTGCCATAGGCTTTTTTGTATTGGGAATGATATGGATATCGATCGGTTAATTTATTTATTTTTCTCTATAATTTTACAAGGCCAATGGACGACAGTTGATTAACGGTAAGGTAATGCCCGAATTGTAATACAGATGGCAGGGTCTAATTTAACATACGCGGTGATCCGTTACAATTAGATCAGCCGGTAAGGACTTGTGCTGGGTCGACCGTCCGAAATTGATATATTAGGACGAAAGAGCAAGTTACGGGGTCACGGCCGGGTTCACCCGAAGGTAATTGTCGAAGAATCTACCTTGGCTATTCGCCCGGCTTCCAGTTTCACTATCCCTTTCCCATTCTTCCCTGGGGAACCTTTTCCGGATTCCCATGGGGCCGGATGTGGTCGTGCGCAATTGACCGGAAGTCCCTCGGGGACCTTTCGAATCTACGTTATGACGGTCCTTTGCTCGATTTTACGACGATCCTTTACTCGTCTGCGCATGCGCGTTACTTGTTACTTTTTTTTTTTTTTTTTTTTTTTTTAATTTTTTATTCCCACA